AATTTTAAGTTAATTTTTAAATGAAAGTAACCAGTAACAAAAAATAATATTCTTATTTGTTTTGGCTGTGAGTGCCTATTGCAGAATGAAGAGTATATTTATAAGAACACTACACAATACTGCAGCCATCCAAAAGGATCTGATGGAAGGTTGGTATGGTGATACAGATCTTCATAGGTGGGGGGGCAGAAGAGTTTGGATTTCAAAATTAGCCTGTGCTTTATAGGGAGATAGAATCCAGTCTAGGACACATGTGATCCTGTTTTAAAAAACAGTTCTGATTATGGCAGTTATTAAAGTCTAAATATTATTTTGAGTTCATACTAATAACCAAATGTTGTATCTGAAATGTAGTAGGAGTTTGCCACAGCTTCATATGGACTCATGTGTATAAGAATTAGGTAAAGAAGACTGAGAAGTAAAAGAGTTGATTTTAGGCAAGTACTTAATTTACTGTTCAATCTGGGTACCAATTATATGAAACTCAGTTAAAAATAGAGAATATGAAGCTAGTTATTTCCTGTGACAGTCAAATTACATACTAAATTAATGCAAGTAATTATTTTTGTGGTATGTGTCGATATTGAAAGTTTAGCATGATTTCTTTCTGTTTTGTTTTGAGACAGAGTCTTACTATTTAGCTCTGAATTGCCAGGAACACCCTATGTAGACTAGGATGTCCTTGAACTAAGAGATCTGCCTGCCTCTGACTCCTGAGTGCTAAGATTAAAAGCACAAGTCACCACATGCAGCTATAACATGACTGTTTTGAATCTTCTGTTCCTTAAGAAAATAGACTTCAGTAACCAAAAAAGGAGGGAGGTTAGATTCTGAAAATCTCTATTTTAAGTATGCTCATTGCTAGCAATGTCCTCATAAATGACTTTAAGAACTTACCTGAATCTGTTTCACATTTGGCTAAAATACATGGAATACAGAGGTTATCCATGTGTGACATGTCAGATATGCACATTTGACATAATGTCTATATCACAAAATAAACCATGGTGCCGTGTGCAACGTCAAAAGAATATTTGCTTTACTGGGTATAGAAAATCACATTCCAGAAACCCAGTGCCATATACAGCACAAATGATCCATGTGTGCACACTTCATTTCTTTTGGCATCCAGTCAGTAGAAAAAATGCTATCTTTTAGGTTCAATAGAGATTTACATATGAATTGTATTTCAGTGCTTTTCTCTTCTATACATGTAGAGATCACTAACACTATGTATGAATGAGAACAGCTTCCCTTGACCTGTATTTTGCCACCAGATGGACTTGACTGCTCCTTTTTTTATCTTTCCCTCTCATTTTCCAATAGTTCAACCCATTCTTATAATATCCACTTAAAATCTTCTTTTTTGTTGCAACCATCAGGGAGAGAAAGTAAATAATAAAGACCATTCCTTTTAAGGTACATCATAAGGTAAATGTTTAACAAATTCCTTCTAGTGGTTTCTTTGACTTCTCTGACTCTTAGGCCAGATTGGGGATCACTTCATGGTGAAGGAGCTCAGTTGATCCTGCAGCTACCTGTACCATTAAAGATGGAACAGTTGAAAGAAGGGCACACATTTTATTTTATCTTCTGTTTTGCTTGTTTGTATGTTTGCTTTCTCACAAGATTCAATTTGGAGTTTTCCCTGGTGATTTCCAGGTAACTTGTGCTGGCTTGCTTTCAGCCTATGAGTTCCTTGTTGACCGTTGCCCCAGTTAACATCAGACACATCATCAGAGGAGCCTTACAAAGACTTCCACATTTGAAGAAGGCAGAATACCCCCCAGAAAACCAAACAAAATAAAATGATTTCTAGTCGATATCAATCATAATGATTCTGCTTGTTTGATCACATTTGACTTACACATAATTTTAAATCCTGGCCTCTAACATGCTCTCAAATTTTCCTATGGCCTGGTACTTCCTCCTTCCCTTTCTGAATTATTTGCTGCAGGGAAAGACCATTTCCACTTCCTGAACAAGGCTTTAGAGGAGCTGACGTTTGGGGAAGTAGAAGCTTGTTGACAAGAGCCATATGAATGAGTTCTATGTACATTCTCCAGGCCAAGTCAAGACATTGGTGACTGAAGCTCTAAGAAGCATCTTGATCATTCCCACGTAAGGCACTATGAGTCAAAAATAACTGCTAATTCACTTTCAAACTAATTAACTCCAGAAACTGTGACATAATAAGTGTTGTTTGTGCCACTATAAGGAACAATTTGGGAAGATTTGTCACATAAAAATAAATAACAAATTATTCAAGTATAACTATTGAAAATAAAGTATAAATTTTTTAAAAATCCTGAAATCATAAAATTTCTTCTATTTTATTCTGTCTCTCCTCTGTCTTGGAATACAGGGTCATATATATCCCAGTGTGTTGGCGAAAATGTTATATTGCCAGGGGTGGTTTTGAGATCCTGATCCTTCTGATGCACATTCCAAATAATAGTATTACAGGTAGGCACTACCAAAAGCAGGCTTTTATGGTTTTAAAATATATTTCTTTATCAAAAGAGATTTCAGGATCATCAGGAAATGAATTAAAATAGACTTGTTCTCTCAATGATTAATATAAACATTCTTCTTAAGTACAACATATTACATCTAACATAATGAGACATTTTTATTTTTAAATAAATAATTTATTGAGAATTTCATACATGCATATAAGGTGTTTTGATCAAATCCGTGCCCACTCCCTCCCCTCCAACTCCTCCCATATCTCCCCATCACTTTTTTCTGATAACTTCATGTACTCTTTCTTCTTCTTTTATTTGTTTATTGGGCTTGTGCTCAGTGCCACCATTGTCACAAGTTCACATGTGCATGCTTTCGGTGGTCTGAAAACTTCTACTTTCCAGTGTTCATGAACCAGCCCTGGCTCTTACAATCTTTCTGCCCCCTCTACCACAATGGTACCTGAGCTGTGGGTGGGTGAGCTTCAATATAGGAGTTCTATCTAAGGATGCATACTTTGTAGTTTCATTCCCCAAAACTTGGGCAGTTGTGGCCCTCTGTGTGTATCACACTCTGTTGTATAAGGAAGCTGGTGAGAGATGAAGGATGCATTAGTTTCTCTCTACCCTTTGTCCCACTATCTTCCATGAGACTTAGGTGTAGGTTCAACTGTAGATATGTCACCTAGGACTGGGCATCTCTCAGATGTATATTCTCTGTGTCTGACCAGTTGTGGAATTCTGCAATATCCTCCATTGTTGCAAAAAGCAGCTTCTTTGATGAGTGGTGTATAGTATGCTTATCTGTAAATATAAGGATCCATATTTAGCATATGGTAAGAAATTTCATTTGTCTAGTGATATTACAGAGATAGGGTTTTCTCTATGATCTGTGTCCTCACCCATTAGTTGTATTTGGCTGAGTTTGCAGTGCCACCCATGAGTTCACTCCCATTGAGAGGGTTTTTAAGTCAAACTAGATAGCTGTTGATTACTGCCCAGATAACAGTGCCACTGATGCACACACAAATAGAGGTAGTCTGACCTGCCAGTCATTATGGTTATTAGGCATTAGGGCTAGGTTGGATCATTGATTTATTTTCTTCCTTAGAAGTCTGCATATTATCATCTAGTATTATGAGAGCTAAACTTCAGATAGATCAGTGTAACACAATAGAAGATCCAAACATGAACACATGTAATTTCAGCCACCTGATATTTGGCAAAGGTGCCAAGAACACACAATGGAAGAAAGACAGCATCTTCAACAAATGGTGCTGGTAAAACTGGATTTCCACCTCCAGAATAATGAAACTGGAACCTTATATTTCACCCTTCACAAAAGTAAACTCCAAATGGATCAAAGACCTCAGTATAAAACCTTAAACTTGGAACATGCTAGAAATAAACATAAGTAATACCCTCCAAGATACAGGCATAGGAAAGGTCTTTCTAACTGGGACATCAGCTGTTCAGGCATTAAGGCAACAATCAAGTGACACCTTATTAAACTAAAAGGTTTCTGTAGAGCAAAAGAAACAACCAAGGAAAGGAAGAGGAATCCCACTGAGTGGGAGAAAAATCTTTACCAGCTACACATCTGACAGATGATTAATATCCAGAATATACAAAGAATTAAAAAAAGAAACAATAAAATAAACGACACAATAAAATTTTGGCTATAGACCTGAACAGAAAGTTCTCAAATGAAGAAATAAAAATGGCTAAGAAACTCCTTAAAAAGTTCTAAACATCTTTAGTAATTAGAGAAATGCAGACATAAACCACTTTACGATTCCATCTTATGCCAGTCAGATTGGCTAAGATCAGGAGAATGAAATACATCAAATGCTAGGGAGAATGTGGAGAAAGGGGAATGCTCATTCACTGCTGGTGGTAATGCAAACTTGTGCAACCAGACAGAAGAGACCACTCTTTGAATAGTTTGTGCAATCACTTCTTAAAAGTGAAAAGAATAAAGATTTTAAACCAACCATTACATCAGTGCATGCGTTTAAGTAAAGCAAGAATACATTATGTTAGATTCATTGTCATGCTATTAATTGATTCCACCAGTAAATTTTCTGGAAGAAATAGTTTAAAGAAGTTTGTCTTCAGACATTTCAAGTAAAATAAAGTCAGCCATGCTGTAGAAAGAAGATATTTTTCCTTTGATTATATATTTTGTCTTCAGTCCGTCCCTACACTTAATTCATTATTTTTCTACTATCTTCCTAAGTCACTGAGTATGTTGAATAAGTTAAGATATTTTATGTCCAGATTGAGAATATTGTAAACAATGAAAGTTAGTTCTGAATTCTTTCAGAAAATTCCCACACCTGATAAACACAACAAGCAAAGCAGCAGGAAACAATACTAACACATAAAGATCAGTAGATTTCTTATGTACCAATGACAACCATATCTAAAAAAGAATAAGTGAAAGAAACACATTCATTTGTAATAGTCTCAAGAATATTAAAATATCTTGGAATAAATCTAATAAAAAGTAAAAGACTTGTACAATGAAAACTTTAGCACATTGAAGAAAGAAATTGGAGAAGCTACCAGAAGATGGAAAGATCTATGCTCATAGATTGATAGGATACATGTTGTGAAAATGACCAATTTACCATAACAATCGATAAGATTCAATGCTATCACTAAGAAAATTCCAATGAAATTCTTCACAGAAATTGAAAGAAATCTCAAAAGTCATATGGAAATACAATAAACACAGGATCGTTGAATCAATCCTGAACAATAAAAAAAATATTTCTGGAAGTATTTCAAGTTGTACTACAAAGCTACAGTAATAAAAACAGCAAAGTATTGTCATCATCAACCATAAAGGTTATGCAAATTAAAACTACTTTGAGATTCTATCTAACCCAGCTAAGAATAGTTAAGATTAAGTAAAAAAGAAAGAAATGCTGGCATGGATGTGGGGAAAGGAGAACACCCATTGACTGTTGGTAAGCGTATTAACTTGTTCAGGTTCTGTGGAAATCAATGTGGAAGTTCCCTAATACCCTAGAAATAGATCTACCATATGATCCAGCTATACTACTCTTGGCATATTCCCAAAGGTCACTTTATCCTACTAAGAGATATTTACTCACCCATGTTCATTGCCACTTTATTCACAATAACTAGGAAATGGAAACAAGATAATTGTCCTTTAACTGTGGAATGGATAATGAAAATGTGGTACATATACATAATAGAATGCTACTCTAAAGAAAAATGAAGTTAAATTTACAGATAAATAAATGGAACTGGAAAATATTATAGAAAATGTGGTAACACAGACCCAGGAAGAAAAAAAGGCTTTCTTCATCCATGTTCTCTTTCATCCATGTTTTCTTCATGCATGTTTTCTTTCATGTGTAGTTGTTAATTTAGAATCTTTAAAAATGTGTGTTTAAACAGGAATTCACATAAAAGTTAGGAAACTGGTAAGGAGTCATGGCTGATGATGAAGGATTTTAAGAGGAAGATATAGAATGAAGGTGGTATGTATGGAGAAAGCAGAATAATGGAAAAAATAGGATTAAATGAAGACTGGGATGGGAGGATAGGGGAGATGAGTGAGTATGGGTGTAGGAATAACATAAATGGACAGAATCTGTGTTAATGTCTTTCAACATTGCAACCAAAAAACTACAAAGGCACTGAGCAATGTGCACTTGTGATCTGGGCACCTGACCTTGATTACTCAGAGCCTCAATTTGCTGCTTCACCAAAAGATAGTGAATGAACGTGGGTATGCTTGAGAGTGAACATAAACACTGAAAAGCAGTAGGAATCTTAAGTGAAAATAATGAAGAGAGAAAGAATGCTTCACACTGTATGTACAAAATGTTTTAGGCCTAGAAATGAATTCCAAGACATATCTTGGGGAACAAGTGTCCTTTGAGTTGGGGCCTGCTCTTAAAACATTAAGTTAGGAGTCAAGCTGTTTTAGTCAGGCATAATTGTAATGTTGGCATGGTAAAGGTGCTTATGGGGAGTGATAGCTAACAGTAAAGACCTTTGAAAATGCAACATAGAAGTCTACTATTGTAGAAGATTCCTAAAATGTATACATATATTAAGAGAATTTAAATGGAGTTGTCCTATAACTAGGGGAAAATGCCTCTTCCAGACACCATAGGCTATCAAATAAATAGGCCAGTACCAGGTATAGGCTACCTCTGCAAGTTGTTTGCCATTGATATCCTATAGAAATATCTACCAAACATTACTGGCTGTAGTCATTGTTCTTGTTTACCATCCAGAACTTGATGGCAAGACACTAATGCTGAAGAAAACACATAACTGAGTCAAAAGACACTGAGAAATCAAAGTGGTACTGACCTGGAAGCTTTATTCCTACTGTGTGGTTCTCATAGTGCTAGAAGTTTGTATGCAAACTACCCAAAGATGAAAATAATCAACAGCCTTACCCATATGTGAACCCTGTGAACCACAATAATGACAAGCCTAACAATATATGCTACTAGTATAATAGTGGCATAAATGTTATAGGAGTAACCAACCACTTTTTTATTGGATTTAGAACTCACTTCACAAATCAGAACTCATGTCTGATACCATTACCTGAGTCAAAAATCTCTTGGATGGCTATGTCATACATGCTAGGAGAGAACTTAAGGCTATTATTCTGCTGAACAGACACAATAAAAAACTTCCCCTTAAATTCTAATCTTTATTCCTAATCTTTATTTCTATAGGTTACTATATTTTACAACTCTTATCAGGAAAGCTTTTTTTTGCTATAGATGACAATTCATACAGAGACCCCAATTGGACAACAGACCAATAAGGTGTGGAATGCTAATACCTAAATAGGACATCTATACCACATCCCATCTCCTCAGTGCTCAAAGATCATCTTGGAAGAGGAGGCAGAAAGGCTTTAAGAGCCAGAGATAGTAGATGATTGCAGCAAAACCATTCAGTATTTTCTCAGACATGTCAAGGCCATTGCATACATGAACTCACAGTAGCAATGACTGCATTCACAAAACCAAACCAGTCAAGATCCCTGCATGGATGGAGGAGGGGCTCATGAAGTCCCACCAGTAGTTGATGCACTACTGGCAATTTATGCCCATTGAGAGAGGGAGAGTTAGTTTTCTTCAAGGTTTCCACTCCTCAGAGATCAGTTCTAGAAGATGGTTCTATAGTCATACACAAAAAAGCAACACTAAGTGGACTCAGTAGGTTTAAAAAAAGATCACAGGAAGTTGGAAGAGAAAATTCCTTGGAAGGAAGAATAAGGATTTGGAGGAGAGGGAATAAAGGGTATATTTGACCAAAACACATTACATGTGTGTGACAAAAGTTTCAAACAATAAAAAATACTTGCAAAAAATTTAGGCATTTGCAAGAATTGTATATCCTGCCATAAAAGAAGCCTAATCAGAAAAAGAATATTATGAAGAAAACCATCCAATATAATACAAAAATAAGAAATTTTACCTTTAGTGTCATTTATAAAATATATTTATTATTTCTTCATTGAATAATTTTATTGTTTATTTAATTTATAGTTATTTAT